CAGCTCTTGGAGGGAGAACAAACTCCTGGTTGGAAATTTAAAAAGGCAGCATTATGAAGGTATCCAAATAACCCATTAATACTGGGGCTCTTAAACAGCGCGTGAAATCCACTCTCTTTACCCAAATAACAGGCTGATGTAGACACATTACCACTCCTGTTTGATTTGGCTGCACCAACCAGCGACAGGGAGTGTGGCCAAATCTCTCTGGATGCAGAGTTTATTAGAGAAGAATTAACAATCGATATATGAGACAGGTACATAAATGAATATTTTAGTAGGAGTTTTAACAAAAAAAAAAAGAATTACTGCACACTAGAGTCTATTTAAACCTTTGATAGAGCTTCTGCAGGCACTGTTAAGAGATAGGATGTGAATATTACAAGGACATTAAACATGTAAGCAACATTCTTCATATGACACACGATAACGCCGCTATCTGAAGATCTTCATGCATGGGAGAAATAATGTGTGTTTATTGTGTCACGGCTCACATTTCCTTCTTTTAAAGGTGATAACAAAGTCTGTTTGTGGTCAGGCATGTATCAGCTCTAAGGTTGGCCCTTTTAACCAAAATATCCAAATCATCCCAAAACAGCGAGATGTGTATTTAATCTGGTTCACCGTGAAATCTCTGCTCTGACTCTTTGTTATCTCTTCGCCTTGATGATACCGCTTCAGCTTGTTTTCATGCTCCCTTACAGACTTACAGCCAGTGTGTGTGCCTGTGTATGTGTGTGTTTATGTGCCTGTGTATGTGTGTGTTTATGTGCCTGTGTGTGTGTATTGACTTTGTAGTATTGATCAAATAGAGCAGCAGGGTGGTCTTGCACTTAGTTGTCAGTACATCCTGAAACTGAAGAATAAGCCAAGTGTTTCTCAAAAATCTGGCAAACAAAAAGTAAAAAGTTAAATTGGCCATATTCATCTGCTCCGTTCAGTCATTTATTTATGGAAAAAATGAGTCTCCGGGCCTCGCTGTTAAAGTCTCGGTGGCCAATTTATGAGTAACAATCTCCCGTCTTGTGTAATTCACGAACTGACCTCGGCTGTTTGACTTATTGATTTTTGCCACAGCGGAGCTCCTAAAGCGTCCCTCCCCTCCTGTCGGTGGGAGTCCATCCAGAACACACTGTGCTCCGGCTCCGTGGCTCCGGCTCATCCGGCGGTCGTCCCGGGGGTTGCTGCAGAAAGGTGTGGAAGGTTCTGGCTGGTTGGTCTGCCTCGGTGGCCCCCTGGGCGCCTGGATGGGATGTGCTCCCCACAGGACCCCGCTCCCACTGATCATTAATGTCTATGAATAGCTGCTGCATTGCAGATGGAGGGAAGAGGGAGGAGAAGGAGAAGGTAGATGGGGAATGTCGTAATGGGTTGAGGAGAGCAATGGTTTGTGGAGGAAACAAGGGAGAATAAGGAGGTGTGTGTGTGTGCATGTAAGGGAGGGACAATTTAATTTTCAAGGACACTCAGGTCCCCCACTGGGGTGATTTGAAGTAATTCTGGTTATTTTCTGTTTTCAGTATCAGCTCAAACAACAAAATCGACACGCCGGCAGCCAGGTTTCTAAACAAAGTGTGATTGTTAGGAGGCAGTGAGACTCAGAGAGAGGCTGAGAGGACGGAGTGAAGACAGCGGAGAGACACTGGAGAAATGAAGATGATAAAGAGGATGTGTCCACTGCCTCATTACATTTCAGATGTTTTGATTAACATGTAATGATTGCTGCAGCCTGTTCACTCACTCTGGTTTATATGCATTTAAAACAGTCACAGAGAGGTTTTAAGGAGCACATTTATTTACCTTAACCAAAAATACTGTATCCATAACCCCGAATGTAAGGGTTTCTCTCCTGAGGATGTGTTTGACCTCTTTAGGTGAACGTTCATGTGACTGTGTGGTTACATTTATGAGAGTAATACAACTATAGGGCGACATCTGGGGATTATTGTTGTTCTGGATTAATCAATTAAAGTTTTAGTCAATTAAGAACTGGAAAATATCTTTAAAAAGGCCCAGTGCAACTTTACACTAGGTGACATCTTCAACAATCCTGAAACCACAGAAAGCAACAAAACTTCACGTTGGAGACGAAAAATATTAATACAGAAAATAAATCTGTAATTATTTTTGATAATCTATCAACTGCAAACATTAATTGGTTCCAGGATTAGCAGATTGTCTTTGTTTAGCTTTATGATGGTAAACTAAATATCTCTGATTTCTTTTGGACTGTTTGGACAAAACAACCAATTTAAAGACATTTAAGACAAATATACATACAACAGAGAAGATCAATCTGGTGCCCTATAGGCTATAGGCTTATTGATTGATTGCTGAATGATGATGATGATCTACTACAACATGTCTGCTGCTGTTATTTGGCAGAAATGTGACATTAATTTGTCCTCGTGGCAAATGTTTGTGGTTTGGTTTGAGCATGAAATGGTTTGGCACAGCTGAGACTGCGGTGGGACGAGACGAGACAAGAGGGAAGTGTTCTCAA